ATATTGAACAATATTTTAACTTTCTGACAACATTTTAAAAACTTGGACCTGAGTGTCGAGCCATTTGGAGACGTCTCTTGTCTCTTGTCCCAACATCATGAACTGACACATTTTAATATTGCAGCAAGAATTTCTTGTTCAAGTTCAGAAGAAGTTGGTTTTCAAAGATTTTTGAGTCCAATCTGGTTCTTTTGGGAGAGAGAAGCTGTCCTGTTGTACTGAGCAGTCTTTCAATAAGGCCATGGGTGGAGCATATCTTCTGGGTGACTCTCTTGCAGTGGAATACATTTTGGGTGTGTTAGTGGTGCTGTGGGTGCACCCAGCTCAGTGACATACATACTAGAATATATGTCATTGGCCCAGCTCTTCTTGAAGGCAGGCCTAACGTTACCTGCCCACTTTGCAGTGATTCAATGGACCAACTCCCCTCTCACCATTGGTTACTTTCAAAGCAACAAACAAATCAAAAAGCCGCAACATGAATGTAACTTGTAATGCAACGCATTATAGAAATGTAGTGTAGTAGAAAGTACAGATACTTGATGTAAAATGTAGTGAAGTATAAGTATAAAGTACCCACATTTAATTCTACTTAAGTAAAGTACAGATACACAAAAAATGTACTTAAGTACAGTAACAAAGTATTTGTACTTAGTTACATCCCACCACTGTCCGACCCAAACTCTGACCCGACAACTTTAATAACACCATAGTAACTCAGACAACCAGCAGTTCTGAGAGCATCAATCAGATCAACTAAATTCTTCTTTCTGAGTTTCTTGAGTTCTAGTAACTTGGTTGTGGTGTTTCTCCAGTCTTTCCAGGTTTGTGTCATTCTATAATCTCAGTAACATTTTGGCTCAGTGTGGAACCCCCCCCCCCCCCCACCACCACCACCACCACCACCACCACCTCAATATTCAAGCAGTAGAACCCTTCTTGTATTGCCTCCCTGCAGGCTGATTTCATCATAAATGCACAAGACTAACACTAACCCAACAGATGCAGCAAAGGGGGGTGTTAAAGCTGGATTTGAACTCAGTTCAAAGTTGGGGCTGAGATGAGGTAGAGGCAGGGCAGCCGACTGTGGACCAGAAAATCATTGTTTGACTCCCAGCCATTCCCAGATGTTGTTGTGTCTGAGCAAGACACAAATCCTGGCCTAGCTAACATCCCTGGGAAGGTGCTGAAAGAATGTGCCCATCAGCTCTGCAAGGTTCTGGCCAACATTTTTAACTCCTCACTTACCCTGGCAACAGTTCCAACCTGCCTGAAGACTGCAACCATCATCACAGTCCCAAAGAGCTCTACAGTGACTGGTCTGAATGACTATCGGCCAGTACCCCTCACCCTAATAGTTACTAAATACTTCAAAAAAACTGGTCATGACACAAATCAAACAACCATCCACATCAACGAGAACCTTCACCACTGTGCATACCGTGAGAATCGATCTAGAGAAGACACCGTCTCCTCTGTGGTCCACACTGCTCCCACCCACCTGGAGCAGAAGAACTCATACGTCCATATGCTCTTTGTGGACTTCACATCTGCCTTCAACAACATGAATCCTCAGACCCTGATGGACAAACTACTCACACTAGGACTAAGTCCCTCTTTATACATTGAGGTTCTAGACTTCTTAACCAACAGACCACAGTCTGTGAGGATCCACAACGTCTCCTCCTTCACCATAAACCTGAGCACTGTCTCCCCCCAGGGCTGTGTGTTGAGCCCCCTCATGTTCACTCTGCTAACCTATGACTGTGCAACAATCCATCTAGGCTGTCATATTGTAAAATTTGCAGATGATACAGCAATGGTGGGGTGCATCACAAACGAGTCCAGCTAAAGGCAGGATGTGGGAAATCTGGAGATCTGTTGTAGGAAGAACAACCTTCACATCAATGTGCAGAAGATGAAGGAGATGGTCATGGACTTCAGAAGGAAGAAACACACATACCCCACCCCTGAACATAGGAGGATCTGTGGTGGAAGTGGTCCCAAGCTACAAGTACTTGGGTATGCACCTGAAAGACAACCTCAGTTGGGGCAACAACACTACCAGCCTGAAAGATCAGAGACTCTACTTCCTCAGGCAGCTAAGGCAAGCTGGTCTGGGAAGTTTCAGTCCTCACCTCCTTTTACAGGTGTGCAGTGGAAAGCATCCTGTTCTCCAGCATCAATGTGTGGCATGTAGGTTACACAGCTGCAGAAAGAAAAGCTTTGCAGAGAGTGGTGAAGGCTGCACAGAAGTCTGTTGGAATCAGCCTCCCCACCATCACAGACATCTACACCTCCAGAAGCAGGAAGAGGACCACCTGTATCATGAAAGACCCCACTCACTCAGAACACACACCTTTTGTCCTGCTCCCCTGAGGCAGGAGGTTGAGGTGCATTAAGTGTAGAACCACTAGACCAGGGGTGTCATACTCAAAGTGCATTCACACCAGCCCTGTTTAGTCCGCTTTAATTGAACTCTAGCTCGTTTTCCTAGGAAGTCCGGTTTGTTTGGGGAGGTGTGAACGCGCCATCGAACTCTGTCACGGAACAAAGAGGCAAACTCTGGCCTGGGCTAAAACCTAGGTCTCGGTCCGGTAGAAGATAACTCCAGCGCGGTTCGAGTACAATGTGAATGTAATCAGACCGGTCTCCGCTCCACAAGCAAGAAGTGGAGTGTAGCGCAGGGCAAACAAGCACGCATTTCTCTTACCTCATATGGAGCCGTCAGCTGCCTTGTGTGAAAAACAACATTCTCCATGATCTTCTGCCTCATCTTACGCTCATGCTGAGTCCATTGTTGAAAAATGACAAAATATAACTCCTAAAACTGCTAAAACTTGACGCCACTCCGTTTTTGTTTTTATTTCCAGAAGAAGAAGAAAAAGAAGAAGTCTCTTTAGAGGTTTTTGTGTCGTTTCTTTCAGTAGTTCTTGATGCAGCACCACCACAGGAGAGCAGGGGAACAGGTTGGTTCAGCAGGTTGGCTCGACTGCACAGTGCAGTGTGAATGCAAACGCACCAGCTCAAATGTAAACTAAATGTCATGAATATTGGTCCCCAACCAAACCGAGTCTACCGGACTATCAGGTGTGAAAACAACCTCACTTACACATTTGGGCCAAAATTAAAACCTTTTTCAAACTAATGGCCAGTTTCAGAAACTACATGAACTCAAATCAGATTCCAGAACTCTTTTCTTGGTCACAGGTTCCTCAACAAGTGTTTGATTGGTCTCATTGGATGTTCTCTGTTGTGCTTTCAACATCATCATAAAAATATTACTGAAAAAAATTCAAGATATATAAGTATTTTACATTTCACATATCATCTTGGGGGCCAGATAAGATGTCAGCGAGGGCCACATTTGGCCCCCGGGCCTTGAGTTTGACACACATGCACTAGACTGAGGAACAGATTCTACCCTATGGCTATTAGAGTCATGAATCTTTAATCAGGATAATCACTATGAAAAATCACATCATGTTGCTGCTGATCTATTTCGTGTTGCTCTATTCATTCGTACTCATCTGCTCACACAGACTCATGTTCATGCTGCTGTTCAGCGTATTGTTTCTATGCTACTAGTGCTTAGTGTGTTTTTAGTTAATCCAACAATTTTCAGTCAGGTCATCTGGACAGTTTATTTTTTTTGCTGAAACGTTTCACATTCCATCCGGAAGGCTTCATCAGTCAAGGAAACACACAAGACAAAAATTGATTCTTCCCCCAAACAGCTTACTCCAAAGTGGAACAAACCAGTTATGTTGGTGCTAAGATGGTGTCTTTGGCATGCCCCCTCCTCCGATGCAGGCCTTCTTCCTCATCGACAGTCATGTCAAACTGGTTCAAAACCAAAAAAGTCCATGCTCAATAATCCAGGTATACAATCCAACAATTTTCAGTCAGGTCATCTGGACAGTTTCTTTTTTTGCTGAAATTTTCACCTTCCATCCGAATGGCTTCATCAGTTAAGGAAACACACAACACAAAACTGATTCTTCTCCCAACCAGCTTACTCCAAAGTGGAACAAACCAGTTATGTTGGTGCTAAGATGGTGTCTTTGGCACGCCCCCTCCTCCAATGCTGGCCCATTTTTAGTTAATGTTTTTCTTAGTTCATATCTTAGATCTTATTGCTATTTTTCTTTACATCTTTACTTTACATTTTAATACTTTTGTTGGATGTAACTGGGACCCTGTGTACACACTTTCATTCCACCACATGCACTACATGTGATGTGAATGAATAATAAAGAAACTTGAATCCTTGAATCTTCCTGGTGTAGATCTATTTCCTGTTGTAGACCTACTTCATGTTGTAGATCCACTTCCTGTTGTAGATCTACAAATTACTTCCTGTTGTAGAGCCACTTCCTGGTGTAAATCTACGTCCAGTTGGAGGTCTACTTCCTGTCGAAGACCTACTTTGTGTTGTAGATGGACCACCTGTTGTAGATTTACTTTTTGTTTAAGATCTACATCCTGTTATAAATATATACTTCCTGGTATAGATCTATTTACTGGTGTAGATCTACTTTCTGCTGTAAATCTACTTATTGTTGTAAATTAACTACCTTTTGAAGATCTACTACCTGTTGTAGATGGACTACCTGTGGTAGATCCTCTTCTTGTGGTAGATGGGCTTCCTGTTGTAGATCCACTTCTTGTTGTATATCTACTTCCTGTTGTAGATGGACTTCCTGTTGTAGATCTACTTCATGTTATAGGTGGACTTCCTGTTGTATATGAACTTCCTGTCTTCTTACTCTTTGTTTTGTTGTCCCTTCCCTTCTGGTTTTCCTCATCTCCCTCTCCGTTCCTTCCAAATTTTCTGTCATTTCATCACTTCCTGTTTGTTGTTAAATCTCGCCGTGTACTCATGTCTTCATCTGCAAATCATTATAACTCTGCCGGGTTCTGTTCCCGGACCTCCTCAGACCCCATTGACCCATTAGAGGATGATCTTTTCCACCTCTTTGATAAATACCCCACTCCCATGCCAGACACCAGCACCCCCATGATCCCACCAGTAGGAGTCCAGGCCATAGCCTTGTCCTCGGACTCTGTTCGAGTCTCCTGGGCCGACAACTCCATGACAAAGAACCAGAAGTCCTCGGAGATCCGGTACTACTCCGTCAAGTGGAAGTCCAGCTTCTCGACCGGTGGAAAGTTCAAGGTAAAAACACGGACCGTGGTTCTGCTTTATATTTTTTGTTGCATTTGTCTCTAAAACCTGTGAGTGAGGACCACTTTACGGGGTCTAATGGGAATTTATGTATTAAATGATATTTTCCTAAGAAAGGACACACCAACACTAAGTGGCAGACAGCTGGGAGCCTGTATTCAGCCTTGATGTAACTCTTCTTTACAGCCTGTTCAGGTTTCTGAAAGGTGTTGGTTTTAGTTAAAAAGCCCGTTGGTGAGGCTTCCTGTTAGCCATTATTGAATCCTTGTGGTAAAAACGACCAGCTGGAGTTGACGCTACAGGACAATGTGAACCCGAAGGGTCCAAATGCAAACAGGGAGACTTCCAAAGCAAAGATTTGCCAACACATATAAATATGCATTTTAATTCATGCTTGGTGGAAATCCAAATGAAGCCTGAAACAATAGAATAAATTATGATTATTTTCTATCCATTGATCATCCCTGAAGACTTATTCAGCAAAATAAAAGTTATTTACAGAAAACTGACTGACATACTGTATGTTCAAAACCCTTAAAAACTTTAGGAAATCAGTCTGTGAAAAAATTATTCCTTACAGTGACACTTCAAGACTTAAGAAAAAAATATCAAAAAACAGAAGCTGAGCAAAACACTTTGTAATATGATTTAAAAATGATTAAGTAATAAAATACAACAGACAAATTTAAGAAAATAAAATACCTTCACAACATAAAAAACATTTATTCATTACTATGTAAATGTAAAAATGTTAAATCTGGTCCTCTGGACATGCAAAAGTCAATTCAAGTCAAGTCAACTTTATTTATAGAGCACATTTAAAACAGAACCTGTTATCAAAGTGCTTAACAACAACAACAATGACAACAACAACAACAATCAATGAGAGTAAAATTAAAGAGAAAAAAATGCAATACATTAATAATAATAACTGAAGAATTAATAAAAAGCATTTAAAGCATAGGGTCACAGAATATCCTGATACATGCTCAATAATCCAGGTAGAAAAATCCAAAAAAGTTCAATCTGGTCCTCTGGACATTCAAAAAACAAGAAAACAAAAAAACAAAAAACAAATAAAAGAAAATGTAGAAACGTTTCGTCTCTCATCCAAGAGACTTCCTCAGTCTGAGGTGCTGTATTCAGCTCAGTCTCTTAAATAGCACCTTCTTAGAGTGGATCAACCAGTTTGCTGCTGACAACCCAAACCAGCTGATCACATGCTCAAGAAGGACCATCAGCCTAACAATGGATCATTAGCACACTGATGGCTTTTTACTATTCACGGGGGGTTGAGTGATACTAGCAATCACAGCATTGTAAGAGGGGGACAGTTGAACCCGGAGGCTCCACCATTGGCCATGTGAGCAGCTGGTTTTGGTTGTGAGCAGCAAACTGGTTGATCCACTCTGAGAAGGTGCTATTTAAGAGACTGAGCTGAATACAGCACCTCAGACTGAGGAAGTCTCTTGGATGAGAGACGAAACGTTTCTACATTTTTTTTGCTTTGTTTTTTGTTTTCTTGTTTTTTGAATGTCCAGAGGACCAGATTGAACTTTTTTGAATAGGGTCACATATTTAAAAAAAAAAAATCCATTAGATCAATTTACACTGTGTGAAATGCCTGCGAGAACAGATGAGTTTTGAGCAGGGATTTGAACTGAGGAAGGGAGGTGGCCTGCCTGATGTTGGGGGACAGGTTGTTCCAGAGTTTAGGGCCCATATGACTGAAAAAACCCGATCTCCTCTGAGCTTCAGTCTTGTTTTTGGAACAACCAAAAGCAGCTGATCGGATGATCTCAGGGCCCGAGAGAGAACGTAAGGTTCCAGAAGCTCAGAGAGGTAAAGGGGTGCGAGGCCATTTAGGCACTTGAAGGTCAACAGAAGAATTTTAAAGACTATCCTAGTATGAACAGGGAGCCAGTGAAGGGAGGGCAGAACTGGTGTAATATGTTCAGACCTAGGAGTTCCGGTTAAAAGCCGAGCAGCAGTATTCTGGACGAGCTGAAGACAAGAAATAGAGGCCTGGCTGATCCCAGCATAGAGTGCATTGCAATAGTCCAATCGGGTCTTGACAAAGGCATGGACTAGTTTCTCAAGGTCAGGTCTGGACAACACTGGCTTGAGCTTAGCTACCTGTCTTAGTTGGAAGAAGCTTTTCTGCAGAACAGAGTTAATTTGTTTGTCGAACTTGAAGTCAGAGTCTAAAACCATCCCAAGACTTTTACCAGACTGCTTAAGATATAACTGAAGAGAGTCCAGGTTGACAGGATCAGTGGTCCATCCTAATGATGGACGTCCATCATTAAACAGGGGTGGAGGCCTACGTGTTCAATTGTCCCCCTCTTACAATGCTGTTGTTGCTAGTGTAGTATGACAATATATGAGATATATATGCATACAATATTCACGAGTTCCTCATCTTTCTGACTGTGTAATGTCGTGCATTGAATTTAACAGAAATGTAACGAGAGACGTTATTTATCTTTGACCCATCAAAATGAATGCGGTCATTTATTTTCAGAATCAAAATTTAACATCAAACATTTACATTAATTTGGCAAAATATGAAAATAATAACAGACAAATTTCACAGAAAATGAACTTCAATCACGCGGCGGTTGTTATGATCGAGGTCGTACCCAGGATGAAAGACCAGAAAACTGAACAGAGACCAGGACTCGAAGTACCAAAAAACAGTGTTTATTTACAAAAAGTGATAATAAAGGTGATGACGTCTCTGTACAGGTGTCGGGGAATATTTACAATATATATATACAGGATCACCTGAGGGGCAGAGGAAGAGGTTAAAGGGAAACGCAGGAGGGACTGGAGTAAACTGTGAGGGATCTTTCTTACGTGACGAGAGGTTGAATAGGAAGGATCCAAAATATAAACCCAGGTTGGAGTGGCAAGTGGTGGAAGGCAAAAAGGCAGCTGCAGGGTCACAGGAGGGATTGAGGAGGAACTCAGGAGACTCAGGCAGGTCCGATGACAATACGAAAACAGGAAGGCTCTGAGAATGCAGAGAGAGACAAAACTTTACTTTTATAACTAGAGAACGCAGTTTGCTGGCTAGAACATTTACTACCGTTGGCAGGCAATGTCCCAGCGCCTGTAGAGTGGCTTCTGAGTCTTCTTATACTCCTCCTCAGGTGTGGTGCTGATCAGCTGCAGCTGCTGGTAATTAGGGAGCTTGAGGAGAGAGAGGAGTGCAGGGCAGGATCCCAACAGCGGTGACTGAGGACTTTGCTTCAGATATTTCTAAAATATCTGTACTGATTTTATGAGATAGAGGAGAGTTTTAAGATGAAATGGAGATTTATCTTACAGAGAGATATGTGAGGGAATTAATCTGTTTGTCCAGAACGTGCACGCTTCATCAGATCTCAGCTTGCCTCCGGTACACTTTAGTCAAATAGAAACTGTTACCTGGTTGACGTAGATCAGCTCGGTATAGAATCCTTCCGACTATTTCAGCGTCTCCGTTGAGAGCAGCTGAAATCCTTCGAGAGTCGTGCGTGGTTTGTTCAAACAGAAGTTATAATCCCAAAACGTCTCTGGATCATCCTGAACGCGTTTGCACCCAAGAACTCTGAACTCCTTTCATTCTTCAGAACTTCTCAGACTCTAACAGAATCTTTCAACTCCAGCAACTCTCTAGTTCTTCATCTCTGGAATTCTCCTGAATTCTCCCCTGAACTGGGAAGTTGCCACATTTTAAATGGGTCGACTTCCGGTTCATTTGAGAGCTTTTGATTGGTCGATGGACCAGGAATAGAGGTGTGGTTTATGATGTAAGATGTTATTAAAAGTCAAGGATTGTTTAGTAACAAACAGAAAGATTATTGTAGGACTTCAGACTTCGTGGAGTCTCACACTTATAATCTTCTGCAAAAGTTTAAACATGACATCTTTCTCGGTAAACATTTTAGTTGACCGAAAACCGACCTTTCACATACTTACAAAACTTGGCTCATTTCAGACAGAAAATCAAGAAATGCATATTAACCTGATTTCTTCTTTAAATGAGGAATAAAAATCATTACTTACTGTTTATGTAAAAATAAAAATGAGTAGTTCTCTTCAACCTGTAACTTTGAGTGAACTAACACAATTTTGATTATCAAACATTTGTAAAACAGTGATGATTATAAAAATTGTCTTTTCTGCTTGATTAATTCAAGAAAGAAAGTCACCAGATGGCTCAAACTGTATTCAGATCAATGAAATAACAGTCTCTGTCCATCTGATAGATTTGAGGTCATCAGGGTCAGATCAGGGTCAGATCAGGTTCACTACAGTCCCCCCTTTGGAAATCATCACCTGTCCATGGGGATGAATTCCAACCGTGAACTTAGACCTTCAAATGTCCTTGAACTTGATGTAATCCAGCAAGGAAGACCAAAGTCAGAAGTAATCCAGCAAGGAAGACCAAAGTCAGAAGTAATCCAGCAAGGA